ATTTGTATTAATTTGTATATTGCATAATTTGGCTTTAATTCTGTCTGTAGCCTATATTGTAGTTTGTTTTTTAATTGTTTATAAATATAGTATATAAATACATAAATACGTAAACGTAAACACGTAAATGGCATCACTTTCTACCAATCACACTGTCAGTATTAATATCACCACAATTGAAGTGTACGGGCGCAAAAACTGCTTCTTGAAAGATCTTAACACAAAAAGGGTATATCACATTTCAAGAAAAAAGGTTATGAGCTCTCGACCAATATATGGATTTGGGTGCCGTTCTAATTTTTTCAATCTATTGTTTTTAAAACATTAATAACAATGATTGTTTGGCAGAAACCAATCAACATAACATATAGCCTTTAGTGAATATTCTTTTTCTTTCCTGAAAAATGAATTCAAACATGTGAATATGAATTATATTTGGTTTATCTAGTAAAAACCAATTTTGAAGCTCCAAAATTGAATAATAATAATAATAATAATAATATATTAATATGAATATTATAATTTTAGACCCAATTTACGAGATTCGGGGCTTGGAATCAAATATATTAAGTTTTTTAGCCGAAATTGATAGGATAATATTATTAATAACAGCTGAAATGATTATTATTATTATTAGTTGCCCGAAGTTATTTGAGCTTTTTAACTCAATAGCCGAAATCTTGGGTGGTTTTTTTATGTCCATTGATTGTTAATTTCGGTAATTTGATTTTTTCAAAACCAATTTCGGTGACAGTTTTTGTTAGAGAAGCCCCCATTTATTTATCTATCCAAATGGTAAATGCGGAGATAGGTCCAAAAGTGATGTTTCTTTTTCTATATGCGAATAATGTTTTATCTAATGTTTCCTGCTACTTGTTCTAACAGGCTAAAGTTTTCGTATTCTTTCACACACTTTTATGAGCACAATGCACGTATTATGTCTCATTTTTGTGATAAATTTTCAACATATACGCAGCATCATGGTATTATATCTCCAAAAGAAATATCATAATCGTAGCATTGTTAACAGTATCAACGTGATCTTCCATTGCAGCTGATTTATTGAGTTAGCGAAAAATAAATAAAATATTCAGATTAACTAATTAGACTTTCTTTTATTTTTTAATTCATTATACTGCAAATATTTGAGATCGCACCATCATCAGTGTATAAAATTCAATGTGCGGAATGTGCGGGTGTAACATCGTACATTAGCAGTTTTCTGCAGATAGTTTCTAAATTTGTAGAAATCTGCATTAGTTACACACTGAAATTTACACACTGACCATCATATTTAAAAAAAAAGGCTTTAATGAAACAATTTTCTCTTGCCTGAGTAAATCACAAACCAAACCAGTATTCATTTATTCGTGTTAATGGAAGAGGGTTGACTTAATGGAATAGAGGGACAAAATAATTTATTTCTTTCAACACAAAATTTGCCCTTAGATTTGGAGTCATTAAGCCTCGAGTCTTACATTGACAGCCATGAAAAAAATTACATTCGTGTTCCACGAATAAAGGAAAGAACTTAATTAGTGCCGATCGGGGCAAAAAAATTTATTTTCATATTAAAATTAATATGGTTGATTTTTTGGCCCCCACAAAAAGTCACGCATTTATTATGTTACATATATTATCTTTTATATCCAACTATGTTAAACAAACGTGAAATATTATATTTACTTATGAAAATATGAGCTGTTAAATTTGTCAATTCCCTGTTATTTAACCAGCGGTCCTGGATTATGGGTATAAAATTCATATTTTTTACATATATAAATTATTGGAAAACATAAGAATGTGCATCAAAAAATAAATATAAAACATTTTAATATCAACAAGGTTAAAAAATAACTTTAAAACTCAAAATGTTGAATTTCTCCACAACAAAACCTTGATCTTTTTATAAAATAATTTCGGGATGCAATTATAGTAAGCAAGAATGAATTTTTAGAATGTCATTGATTTTTATTTTGGTTTTCTTCTAAAATTTTCTGTGCCATTGATTTTTTATGAGAAGCAGCAAAACGACTTATCCATCCTTCAATTGTTTTGATTGTTGGCAACTCTTCAGATGTAAGCTCACCAAGTTTTACACGCTCTTCCAATTCTTCTAGCATATCTTTTGCAGAAAATTGTTGACTTCTATCCATATTACCAGAAAGAAAATATATTTGCAGGTATTCCTTGACTTTATCACCAATTTGTTTTCCACCCCCTTTTTTTCCATAAATTTGATTTTCCTTCAAGGCCCATCCTATCACAAAATAATCAACTCTATTGGCAAAGTAACATAGTGTCAGTAAACTTGTTTTTTTAAGGTGAGTTTAAAGGAAAAATAATTTTATTTTTTAAATGATTCTTACTTGATTATATCATTATTATTATCAATTTTTCCCACATTTTCACTAAGATTTGATTCTGATTTACGTTTTTTTACATCCCTCTCATTCATATCATTTATAGCATCAGTCTCTTGTGGAATTGAATTTGTTGCCTCTACAAGAAAAATATAATATTTATTAACAATCTACAAATACAAATACATGTTCAGATATGTAAATTCATACCTGTAATTTTCATTTTTGTTTCATTATCAATTGCTTCTCGCAAAAGAGCCACTAATTCAACACGACTACTATTATTATCAATTTCCAGATTATATTTTATCATTTCTTCTTTGATTTTACTAATAGACCACCGACTGGGATTAGAGGCTATGTTTATTTATAATATTTTATTAGTAAAAGGATCAATTATTTTTTACATTTGGGTAACTACTTACTATTGTTGCTTGGCATTGGAATTATCCATTTAGAATCTGGAATGGTATGATCAGATAATGTTGGAGTTGGTTTTTCTTGCTTTTGAATTATGGCTGGAGAAAAATATTTCCACTTTCCAAAATTTGGTAAAGAACGAGCACAAATATATCCTGCATATTCACCCTCAACAGGCCACCGAAATTCAAACCAATTTGATATTCCAGGTAAAGATGTTTTTTTTTCTTTTCAGAACTTCTGTTTGGCTCAATATTAGCTATTGATGTACCACAAATTCCTTTTGCTGCAGATACAATATCTTCACCTCCTGTTACATCATAACCCAATCTCACATATTTTTTTATGGAATGGGAAACCTATGAAATAATAATTTATGGTGTCATCAAAGGTAAATTAATTTTCAAAAAAAAAAATAATAATACATGCCTGTGCATGGTGTGAGTCAATTGTTGTCTTTGCTTCTCCTGGTTCCAGGAAGATCCACTGACGTACTTCTACATTATACCATTCTTTCCAATTACTGATTGTTGTCATAAGTTCTGAACAATGGTAATGAGCACCATTGTCAGATAATACTTTAATCCAAGATGGTTTTTTTTTTAGTGTATTAAAAACAGCATCAAAAGCAGAAGCTGTAAACCAAGCATCTTGAGTTGTATCAGAAGACCAATGGTCAAATGCTTGTATATTTATTTTATCTGAATCATCTTCTTTTCCATAAACTAACATAGTATGTAATGTCCACCCTTTCTTCCCAAAAAATTCAGATTTTTATTTCACGTGCAGATTTTGGCAACACCCTCATTTTATAATCTACAACTACAATTGCTCCATCCTTATCCAAAGTTAGTATTGCTGCATTGAACTGAGCATTCAAGTAAGTTTTTCTTGCTTGGTGGGACCAATAATATTGCAATTTTTTACGGTTCTCTGATAAAATAACTGTTTCCTCAGGTAGCAATGTTACTAATGTTGCAAATAAATTTTCTAGTTTTTTGCATTCAGCGCAGGTTTCCAGATGTAATTGTGAACATTGTCCAAATGCATAAGGGAGACAATGTTGAATGCAATCCACATGATAAGAATTACCTAATGAATCAATTCTTAACTCTTTTCCATATCCAAATTTTAAATGGCATTGGGATAAATCAATTTCATCAATCAAAGTTCTCTACAATTCATATAATTCATTAAGTTTTAGTGCATATGAAACATTATCAGGTGAAAATATAATATTTTTAAATTCAAGGTATTCATTTTTTTATCTTTTTTAATAATAAAATTATAATTTTATTAAATATGATCTTTTCGTTAAAAAACATTTACCATAGGTTTTCTAAAAAATTTTAATGGCAAAAATGGAGATGTAATCTTAAAATTCCAATATAAGAATGACAGTTACAAGGATAAAGTTTGAGTAGCAATGGTTGCTAAACCTAAAGAATCTTTGTATGCCTTAGATTAATCAAGTTTGAAAATAATTCAAAAACTTCAAATTTTCCAGCAACTTGTAATTCTTAAATTGAAATTTTCAAAGATATATGCATCTCTCTCTGTTGTTTTAATAAAAGGACCATATTTAGTGTAGAGATGCCTTCAAGATTCAAAAATCAAAGGTAACTCTAATGAATTATAATTTTCTGAAATGAATACCTCAAATTTTCTGCCCATTTATACTAACTTTTTGATCATTACTCCTAATTTTTGTTCTCACTAACTCTTGGATATTAGAAAATACATTATAACCATACTCATTACATGTTGCACACAATCCACCCAAATCTTCTCGATACTTGAATTGACCATTTTGCAAACGAGCCATGAAGGTAGATCTTTTTATGCCATTTGGGTAGAGTTCAAGGTATTTGTTCCATAATGATATTTTATTTTCTTTGAGGTAAAGGATAGGCAATCCTGTTTTTTCATCAACCTTGTATGAACTCATATTTAGATTATTCTTGTCTGAAAAAAATACCTGAAATTGATCCAACATTTCATTTGTCAAGCGAGTCCTTGTAATTTTTGGTTTATCAAAACATGGACACCCTGGGCCATTTACAATTGCATAAGTTCTGGCACGGGAAATGGTTTTAGAAGAAACCTAAAAAATAAAAATTTATGAATAAGGCTATTTTAGGAAAGTTATATTGATTTTAAACAAATAAAATTTGTTTGCTTTTATGCAAATAGCTTTGATTTTGTTATCACATACATTTAAATTCTTCTGTAGTTCATCATAGGTGAATCGGTCAGCAATTGTGGATAAAGTACGGTTTTTCCCATCATAACCACGTTTGTTTTCATAAGAGAACATTGAAAACAATACCAAAATTCATTACTTACATCAGGAACATCAGAAGGATTTGGATTGAGAAAACTTTTTTCATAGAGCATCTTCATTATATTCTTATCATTAGAAGGGTCAAAGGCTCGTGTCCAAAATTCATACTATAATAATAATTTAAAAAAATAATATCCCATTAAAATTAGAAATCAATTAGGTCATAAATTATTAGTTTAATTACA